GTAATGTGATACGAACGAATGAATGAGCAGTGCTGTAGCAATGCTGTTTTGTTTTCGACGACCCCAGCTTTGAGTGAATATCGGCTGCACTGGGGCCGTGCACAGCCAAAGACAACTTTACTGAAGAACAAGGCTGCACTAACCTGGCCACTTAATTTCACTAATATTAATCATAAGATCCGACCCCCCGTAACACGCTCCTAGTCCGGGAGGTGGAGGTATAATTACTCAATCATGACTGCATTTAATGGTCTGCTGGCAAGTCTGCATGCCGTAGATCTAGCGCTTGCTATGGTCAGGGTTCGGCAACACTTGATGCGAAGATCGACAGGCGCCGATTAGGTGCATGACTAATCTGTTTACATTACCATGCATGATCGCGTGTATGTTTCGTGTTGTTCGTGAGAAGCACTTGACTCAAAGTTTCATGTATCGTCTGGCACGAGGCTCAGATTAACCATATTGTGTGGAGCTGCCCCACGACGTGTCCAATTAAAAATGAAAATACGATGCCACCTCGTTAAAAAGGGCTCGCAGCATGGCGTTGATTATGCCAAACTTTCCACTAATGACCTCTGAATTGATTTATTATAATGAGTAAGAATGTAATTGGATGAATTTTGTGTATAACTGACTGCAACTACATATTTGTTCCCCGATGAAGGATAAGCACATTTCGCCTATGAATCTTTGTAAATCTGGCGGACATGCAGTACATTCCTCTTCTGACAGACATTTCACAGTTCTTGGAGGAAGAGGTCGTTTGGAGATTATTTGTGCGTCGGTTGAAATGCCTATGAAGAGCCTATGTATTTTGCCTCTTGGCGAGGTGACATGTACTTTGTTTTGCTAGTAAGTTGCCGCATTGAAAGTATGCCGCTATCGCGCAATGTACGTGCCATTTTAAATATCGTGGCGTGACTGCTCACCATTCAACTGTTTCAGCTGGGATGAGCCGGCCCGACAGATCCATAACCACCCTGCGTGTTTTTTCGAAATGACTCGAGGCTCGGAGCTCTTTTGTGTGAATACTTGGTGTTTTTCATGCATCAGCATACACAAGACTTAAACACAAAATTTCGTGAACAAAATCTACGCAATCAAGCACTGGCATACAATATCTATGATTGCAACTTTACAATTGTCTCCCAGCTTGTTGTGTAGTAGCGTGCAGTCGTATATCACTGTGCTTTTGTTTGAGACCGTTATAGCCTGAGTTCTTGCTGCAAGAATGACATTGAGTTTTAGTTTGAAGGGTCGTTTTGGATGTTGTTTTGTCATACAAAACCATGAACCATTATGAACCATGGCAAAAGTAAAGGAAAATTGATCTGCAATATTGGGTAGTCAGTTCCCCCATCTGATGGACAGTTTTTGGCGTCCTTTAACTAGAGCATACCAACTAGACAGTTTTTTCGAGTCCACATGCTGACGTAATGCACATTTTACACTGCTAGAAAGGTTGTGATATCACATACATCGTATGTAATACACTTCTTTGACATCAACCTATGCAAGACGTGGCAACGATGTCACACCCTGGTCAAACCTGCGCAGAAGGTTAAGGTGAGCGACATGCGACGGTCAGGGCGTAGTCTCTCCACTGCGATGTAACGGTCCACGGACTGTTCCTCTGGACCATTTAAGCATGCTGGACAGACTGTACGCAAAATACTAGCGTCACGGTCATTCTCTTCAGAAAGCTGTGACAAAAAAGCGCGGCATAATTCAGTTGCAATAGGCAACAACTAGTTTTGCACGTGCGTGAAGCCACCTCCTGATAGTCTATATCCGGCAACCCAGCTCCAAAATGTTTGGGTTTTGTATATTCGGCTTGGGCCTTACGTGCAACACCAAAGGATTTGGCCACAAGGTTAACGGCGCGGCGGTGCCTCTGATGGCCTGAACCGTACGGTCCCGGTCCCTCCAATATTCTCCAAATTATAGATTATCCACGCTGTTATCCTGTTGTGCGTATTTGGAGTTAATGTGCGTGCATGCCGCTTCTGAAGTTGCAGTTATGTAGTGCTGGACAATCGAATGTGCGTGAATGCCGCTTCTGAAGTTGCAGTTATGTAGTGCTGGACAATCGAATGTGCGTGAATGCCGCTTCTGAAGTTGCAGTTATGTAGTGCTGGACGATCGAATGCGCGTGTCGAATACACCAAAACCAACACGAGTCGAACAACGAAATCGGCGGTCCAGTGTTGTGCCCCGGCTTAGGTGACCGACCGGGCGCCCTCTTAACACACCCAACCCGACCGATTCTGTCTGGTCGGATCTGCTACTCTTACCATTTGAACAACCAAAATAACTCACCCTCTGTTTGCGACCTAATGCCCATTATCTCAAATAAATAACACAAACAACCGTTTGCTAAGCAAGCAGTGCTCTTCTCCTCGTCCATCTGGTAGGTTACAGTCGGCGGCGGACACGGTGCGTGGCGCCGCTGTGGCTGCCGCGTGCGTGCTGTGCTGTGGCGGGCAAAGCGGCGGCTCCGCGCGAGCTGGTGACCCGACGGCGCCGTGCTCGCGGCCGACCTGTGCTCCCTCTCTCCCGGGCTGACCTGCCTGACCTGACCTGCGGCCGCCGGAGCGGCGGACGGCAGGTGGCGCCGGTGCCGGGAGTGGTATCTGCTGGGTGCTGGCTGGTGGGTGTCGGCAGGCCGCCGCGCCGGAGGTGGTGGTCAGCGCCGGGCGCGTCCCGTCGACTCCCAGACCTGTCGCCGGTCCGCGCCTGGCGCGCTCGTCGCCGCCGCCGTTCCCGGGGCGACTGTACAACAGGCCGGCCGGCCCGTGGCCATGGCTACCTGTCGGCAATCGATGTGCTGGCCGCCGGCGTCGGGCGCCGTTAAGTGGCGGCCGCGGCGTGTCATGGTCCCATGGTGCCTGCTGCCACTGCGCCGGCCGCCCACCACTACCGACCTGACTGCGGCCCCCTCCCCCTCCCCCCCCCCTCCCAGCACGGCCGCGCCGCACGCGTCTTTATTCCACCGGCAGGTGTTGGCCACAAATTGCCCAACCTGTGATACCATCACATTTGCTCGCTTAATTCAGCGTTAATACAGCATCAGGTAAAACAGCGCGTTGTCGCAGGTGGTCAAATTAGACACGACACTACTTGTTGATGGTCGCACTCTTTGTGCAGAAGTGCCCCATAGATGATGTTTGCAACCGCTTATATTTGCGTAAGAGACAAACCATAACCGTTTTTGAGAAGCAACCAATGTGTTATACAAGCGACGAACACGTGCGCGCACATTGAAGGGTTCCACAAAGACGCCTCTCTGAAAACGGATGGGTGCTAAGAGCTCGTTTGATTTTTCGGCTCAAGGCGAATTCAGTGGTGTCATTTTCTCAAGATGCACTCATGTTTAGGGGGTGCGCAAAGACCTTAAAGCTCGGCAGTGTAAGCCGCGTTTTGCTCATAGGAAGCCGAAAACGCGTGATAAAAGTGGATAATAATCGGCTTGGGTGCTTGAAACGGGCTCCTTAGCCCCTTCTTACCATACAGATTCTATGGTTTTCCGATGCGATCCAACAGGCACGTCACTTGCCCGAAGGACTATTTTTAGGGGAGAGGAAGCAGCAGTGATGAAAATAAAGATAGTCCCAACTAAAGCGAGGTGAGTGCGAAACAAATCATCGCAACGAAGGTGGCTCAGTGGTGCATATGGTGTTGAGATGTGAGCCCACTTTGCCTCCCTTTAATCCATTCTGATGTTTTTTAGACTTGCCCGCTCTAACCTGGACTAATGGAAAAGAAAACGTCAAGCCATGTGAACTGAGATTATAATTGCCAGACAACTCTTCACGTTATATCGTTAATCCATGAAGGAATTGTTAGGATCACATGTTTAACGTCGCTACCCATCGAAGTGTGTCCGGTGCATACGTATAAAAGTCCGGTCTTCACCCGTAGGCTTCTACTTCCTGCAGAAGCCACTGCAACTGATCCTTGTCACTGTCTTAAATGCCTTCGAATATCACAATCTTTGGCATGCTTCTCTCCGTAACACCATTAACCACTTTTGTGCACCACTTAAAATTGCTATAAAACGGAGTCGTTGGTGCATTCTCATTGATCGGCTTGATCGATTGCTAGCATCGATCTGATGAACCCGGGATACCAGCCATAGAGGCTTGTCCACCATATCAGAGTCATTGGTCTCAGTTGACGCCCAGCAGCGACCATCGACTCGTAACTGGCATAGACAACAGCGGCCGAAGCCATAGCCACCTTTCGATTACGCCTGTCACCACCCGAGGCCAGAGCGAGCACGACCCGCTCAGCTTTCAAGAAGGCCACGTGGACACATATCACATGTGAAGACACGCATGACCAGGATATGGTGGCGTCCAACCGCAGAGCTGCGCGCGGCTAGAGTAATAAGGCAGGCTGTGACTTTGACCTACCGTAGGTCAGCGACCTTACAAGGTACATTCAATTTTGATACCACACTATCCGCTATTCAACTGTCCATAGCTATGCGAATTTGGCGCGGTGACACCGTGCCGTTTAGAAACCATTTCTGAAAAACCCATGAGGGTCATTTGACCTCCACCCGAGCGCGTGTCAAACAAAGGGCATCTTCAATTGGGAGGGATCAAGGACATTCATTTATTCTTACACTTGTTCGGCATGCGATGATTACGCACTACATTGATATGAACGTTTGATATCGTGTGATGCTGATAATAAAGACATATTGTGCACGAATCGCATGCAAGCGTATCGGTGCCACGACGGCATCCCAACTACGTCTTGAATACCCAGGTCTAGGCACGTCTATGTTGCTCCTCTAGTATGGCAATACGAGCTTCTGGTTGAAGCAAAAATATCGGCATCGGTCTGACATCTCGCTGTGGCTTGACATAACAGCGGTCAGCTAGCATCGTGTGTGCCGCATCACGCTGAGGTTTGCAGGAGGATTCACGACTCCCGCCATCATATGGAGCCGCTGACGCGCTGACACGCGGTGATGCCCGTCTGTCGGTCAGATCTACCTGGATGGACCTTACGGCGAGGGGCACCAGGACTGGTACCGGTTCGAGGTGTCCGTGCTCGTCGGCGGCGGCATAGGCGTTACACCGTTCGCCTCCATCCTCAGAGGACATCGGCCACAGCACCCCTCCAGCCATCACTTTGCAACAAAGGTTAGAGACAGCCGGTGCAGACGAGTTGCTTGCGTCGCTGAATCTTACAAAGCCGGCATTCCGGGGCCGCGTCATGCTGATATAAGCCCGGATTGAACTTTCAGTCTTTTCTAGCAATTCAAACATCAAACATCGCGATCAACTAATCCGTAACCTAGTCGGCTGCTAACCAGGGCTTCCTGTTGGAATAATGATTGTGGTGAATACGATTACCTGGCCATAGGAGCTTGGGCCATGCTGCATAAGCCCAATACGAAATTAAATCGTTCTCGCTTCGCAATCTGTCAGCTTTTTCAATGGTTGACTGAGCTGAGGCGAGCTGAGCAGGTTTGCTGGCTGTTGAGAAGTAGTTTTTCGCTATTTGTACGTTTATGTCACTGTAAGTGAGCTTGTGGGTACGGCTGACCCAAACCAGGCCGATGTTTGACCGGGCGGCGTTGGCTCCCAGGTGTACTTCCTCTGGGTGACGCGCACACAGAAGCACTTTGAGTGGCTGGTGGACATCATTCGCGACGTAGAAGACAACGACAAAGGCCATCTGGTCTCCACCCACATCTTCATCACCCAGTTCTACTCCAAGTTTGACCTGCGAACCACCATGCTGGTGAGTGGGGAGCCCGCTCCGCCGGCGGGCACTGCCACCGTGTTCCCGGCGGCTCTGAGGCTTGCCTTCAAGATGCGAGTGTGACAAACGGCTCGGTTTTAAGGTGAGAGAACAGCAACTTTGAGTGCATAGGTAAGTAGGAAAGCGCCCTGTAGTCGTGGTAGGGTTGCTGTTATTCGGAAACCACTGATCCTCGTCCGGTTAGATGGGATGAAACAAACGCCCTCCGGTCTTCGGGGCGATTATCTGGACCGATTGACTGATAGTTATGAAATTGGGGCTAGGTGAGCGTGGAACGCCTTGGATTTCAGGCCATCTGGTGTGACACCTTATACATGGGATCATCGTATACATCGATGTTGAAGGCGTAAATGGACCACACAACAAACGTCACCCCTGCCCGCAATCCTTGTAGGGATCTGTCAATGTCAGGGTCATGACACCAGTCTGAGTTTTAAGACTAGCTCACTCAGTCTGCCAAACCATTATGTCATGCAGCCAAACGACCCCACCCTCTCATTTTTCATTCGGCGTGCGATTTTATGACAAGGGGTCTTTACTCATAACCAAGTACACCAAACATACGGCGTCACATTTAAATCCGGTACGGAGGCAGTGCTGTGCGCTGTTGCCAGCAATGTCGGTGGTGGCGACCAAGGGATATCGCTCCGAACCGCCATAGTAAGCCTCACTGCAGCCGATTCTTTTTGGCATATTGACACGGTTTTGACGTCACGAACTTTCCGGGCCTGCCATTGGTCTAGGAGTACCCTGCAACGTCGCCGGAGTTGGCCTAAAACACTGCTCAGCTGGGTGTTTATGCCTGCCTGATGCTGGCATGATATGTTAGGATATTCTTAGCATATCTTTGACATTAAAACGCTTGGTTTCCAGGTATTTGTGCATTCTTTCCAAAGATGCTGGTTGTCGGGAACCGATATGCGAAATCCAAGCAATTCATGTTTGTGCGGCCGCGATTTTGATTTGGTTGCTCAGATCAAACATCAGAACAAGTTTCAATTGCAAAAGAAACAAGTTGCAAGGTTGCATTCGAGACTTTAAACTTTTTAGACCGAAGTGTTTTTTGTTGCAAACGAAAGATCGTAGCGAATAGCTGACGTATCGAACGTGCCATGAATATTAAAAAGTCGCGCGTGGCCAAGACGTCGCAGAGTGCTATGATCCTCAACCCACAACGACATTGTGCTAACGAAATGACGATATACATACAATTGATGAATACAATGATACCTGACATCCATACACTACGGCCTCTGGCAGCTGTCTCCACACTTGGCCACGAGATCAGAGTTTTAGTGTTGGAGCTCAAGGTTGGTGAGATAAAAAATCGAGGTTCGTTGTCGCAACTAAGGTGGCTTGGGCCTTAGTACCTACTCAAAGCTCTATGGAAAGGTAGCTAAGAATAAGTTTAGATTATGTTTGTGCGCTTTGTTGCCCACCTCAGCGTTGAAGACATATATTTTGAATCCTGTCTGAACCATCGGTTTTCGTTTCAGTACATCTGTGAGCGCCCACTTCCAGAAGATCAGCAGAAGATCCCTGTTCACCGGCCTGAGGTCCATAACCCACTTCGGCCGACCAAACCTGCCGTCGATCTTCAGCGCTCTGAAACGCGTGCATCCAAAGGTGAGATATGCAGTTTTACGGAATGATTATGACGAAATGTTAGTACTACGGATGGAAAGTTTCGAACTAGTGTCCTCTTTTGTTTATTAGTGTTTGTACCACAACTTTTCGGCCAGTCACTTCTCCGGCCGTCTTCAGATGTTATTCCCTACTTAAGACGACTGGAAGTGCTCAACCTCAGCCATGCACGTGTCAAAATTCGAAGTTCTCTCCCTAGAATTGCTGAATGTTTTGGAGCAGTAGTCTTCTGATCACGAGCCCAGCGACCCAACCACGGACTTTACCGCGAAGGACGACGTTTTGGTGCTAAATTTTACTTTTATTCAGCTCCTGGCTTTCAGGGAAGTATCTCAGAATTAGGAGCTATATTGACCTGAAGTATACGCTTCACCTACTGATGGGAGTCGCGAGCCAATGCTAGGTCTATTGCCCGCATTTTTCTAACCTTTCAGTTTCCATTATGGTCACCTCATTGTATGCTGATCGGTGATCGGCCTGTTGACCTTGCATGATGCAATGCCGGGCGTCAGAGTATACCCCTGGTGGTTGCCTTTCTGGGCTCTTCCAGTCTGAGCGACGGCTCGCGAGTTGTTCCTCATGTGTAGGGTTTGCCACACCTGCATAGTATGAACGGATAGCGAGCTGTTCTTCATGTATAGGGCCTGTCTCACTTGCACGGTACGAACGGATGGCGAGTTGTTCATCATGTGTAGGGCTTGTCACACCTGCATAGTATGAACGGATAGCGAGCTGTCCTTCATGTGTGGGCCTGCCACACCTGCATGGTATGTCGTGTATGCAGTCTTCAAATGTTTAACTGTCGGTTGTCTGACGTTGGTTAGAGTTATCCGGACCATTGAGCTGCTTCTAAAAAATTCCTGATATTGCATTATCTACATATCTTTCTGGTCTTCTCTGACGAACCGTTCTGTTGAGGTGATGTACCTTTGCTTTTGTTTTGTTTTTTATTTTACTTCTCTGCTTGTTCAGCGCGCCGTTTGGGTTTGGGTTTGGGTTCAAATGCAAGAACCTCAAAGCTCACGCTGAACAACCAGGGCAGCCAAAGAAAAAAATAGACGCAACGGTGTCTTTAGCTCACAAAAGGGTCTTGGGGCGAAATAAAAGCATCAGTGACAAACACCCCCGAGACACGATACACAAAGCATGCAGTCGTGGCTGGCCATACGAATGAGAAACAATCACCCTTTGTCGGTCAGACTGGAAGAGCACAGAGAAGCGGTTCAGAGCTATGCTCTAGTGTCTGGTATGGCATAAGGAATGCTTGTCGTGTTCTTTCGTTACCCTAGCGCTTAAATGCGATGATTGCAACTGCATTATCATTGTTTTAATATAAAGAATGGAGCTAAGTAATAGCCTAAACAACATGCCTTTCAACTGACTCAAATTTGTTTCGCTTCGTCTACCCGCATTTTGCTGCTGTGCTGCGTGGGCTACCTCGGGCTTCAGCGCTGGTGCCGGCTGGCAATTGGCAGGTGGAGCAGTTCGGCGTGTTCTCGTGCGGCCCGCCGCCCATGACCCGGTCTGTGGAGGACGCGGCCCAGGCCATGAACCGGTCCGACGGCGCCACATTCCACCACCACTTCGAGAACTTCTGAAAACAGAAAAGTGCCAGCGCTCGCCGGTCACCTGCCACCAGCACTTTGGAAACTTCTGAAAACCGCCAGAAGTAACAGACATATGGTGGTGCTGTACGGACTAGACCCTGCCTCTGCCACACCCGCCAGCTGGCTCACTTCGTGAACGGTACTGCAACCGCACGGGGCATGCGTGCATCCAGAAACTGCTGACCTTGTCCTTGTGCGTAGGATTGCCGAGCGTGGAGGGGCACTATGATATCGCTTAGCCTGCTTTCAAAGTGGATATGTATGCTCGAGATGTACTTCTGTAAGGTGTTTTGTACCGCCTTCGCTGTGCTTTGCAGAATCGAAAAGGTGATTAGAGGAGAGCTCACAAAGTCGCAAGGACCACTGAAGATTAGATGTACTAGCCCAGAGCGTGCATCGGTCTAGCTTTACCATTAAAAACCGTGACACGCTAATAACCATCTACGAAACAAATAAAGCTTGAGCCGTGGGCAAGGCCCAAAAAGGGAGTTATGCTTACTTTTCATGTTCAATTTGTTATTCTGTTTGACAATGCACATGTGAAGAAAGACAATGTCGCATATATATATAATATATATATATATATATATATATATATATATATATATATATGTGTTGTGTGTGTGTGTTGTGTGTGTGTGTGTGTGTGGTGTGTGTGTGTGTGTGTGTGTGTGTGTGTGTGTGTGTGTGGTGTGGTGTGTGTGTGTGTGGTGTGTGTGTGTGTGGTGTGTGGTGTGTGTGTGGGTGTGTGTGTGTGTGTTGTGTGTTGGTGTGTGTGGTGTGGTGTGTTGTGTGTGTGTGTGTGTGTGTGTGTGTGTGTGTGTGTGTGTGTGGGTGTGTGGTGTGTGTGTGTGTGTGTGTGTGTGTGTGTGTGTGTGTGTGTGTGTGTGTGTGTGTGTGTGTGTGTGGTGTGTGTGGTGTGTGTGTGTGTGTGTGTGTGTGTGTGTGTTGTGTGTGTGTGTGTGTGGTGTGTTGTGTGTGTGTGTGTGTGTGTGTGTGTGTGTGTGTGTGTGTGTGTGGTTGTGTGTGTGTGTGTGTGTGTGTGTGTGTGTG